GGTTCAGCAAAGAAAATGGTTTTTCTGGTTGGGTGGAGACGTCTGTCAAGGAAAACAAGAATATTAATGAGTCCATGAGGTAGGCACCACGACTGGTGATACATCTAGGAGTTAATTCCCTCTTTCAGCCACGGCTGTCTTTGAGGTGAGGGGAGATGCTGTCAGTAACAAATAGCAGCAATAATACGCAAGTAAATCTCCCGAAAGGAAACTGAATTCCGAAAGGTCAGAAGTTTGTCTCTCCTTGGTTAAGCTCTGACATGCTTTTGGAAACAGAAATTCTTTGAACAATACCAGAGATGTTTTTTCATACACTGGCCTCTGCCAGGAGGCTGGGACTTCTTGTGCAAAGACACTAGAAATTCTTTTGTGATGCACCAGTCCTTTGATGGAGAATTTGGCCTTTTTTGAAAGGTATTAGACTGGTTATTCGCACCTGATCTTGAGGCTGGGCAGCTGGTACCTAGGAAGCCTGTTGCTGTGTCCCAGTCCTAAACTGGGCCCGAGGTGAGCTGGTTGCAGCGGGCGTTGTTAGTTCTCTGGTGACGGCAGGGTCTTTGGTGCTGCCAGGTAATAGCAGTAATGCTGCCGTCAGCGCTACGAGGTTCCTTAACCTGACTGTTCAGTCATTAAAGTTCTGGAGTTTTGTGTCTTTTGGGAATGAATTGCTATTTCTTTTTTGTACAGCTGAAAAAACATGTGGCCCAATCCTGTGTGTTTAAAAGGAAAAAAACCCACAAAACTCACATATATTTGTCTTCTAGAGTCCTGATTGAAAAGATGATGTCCTCATCCACCGGTGATGGAAGTTCCTCTGCTGCCGGCAGTGGGGATTATATTAACATAAAAGAGACAGCCCCACCAGGCTGGGCTTGCTGTTAGAGCACTGACTACACCACCTGCCTCGGGGCTAGCAGCAATGGCCTTGCATTATTACCATCATCGTTGTTTCCTAAACTGGCTGTCACTGGTTTTGGGTTTGTTTTTTTTTTTACATGATCGTGAACTGTCTTCTGTTTGGTGCCTATTCGTTCTCAGTAGAGCATTGCTACAATGACTTGGAGTGAGGAGCGGACAGAAGAGAGGAGGGAGAAGATTCCTCTTTCTTCTAGTGTAGTAGCAACTAGGAGCTCTGCCGCCGGTAATGTAGCACAGTCCGTGTTCAAGCACATGCTTGGATTATTTTTTTTTTAAATTTTGAGCACTTCATCTTCTGACATGTGATGGCCTGTCTCGGGCAGGATGAAGGATGTCGAAGGTATATTTTTAATACTGTTGCACCTTTTATTCCCCACTGCCTGCACCCACCATACACAGAGGCACCAGTCCAACGTGTTACCTTCATCTGATGCACGCAGAGTTCAAGCGGTCTCTCTGCGCCTGTGGATTCCCAGCGTGGGATTACTGCAAACTCTTTACTTCGTGCTCTGGAACTACATACCTCTGCTTACGTGTCCTGGAGGGACCAACACATCTCATCATTGCCACTAATTGTCCTTAAGATGTGAAGCCAGATGTGGATTAGCACGGTGTCCCACATAACCAGACCTGTAAAATGATCAGTGTGAAGCTGAGAGACGGTGTAGCACAGCCCTGCCTTGCGTCTGTACTGACTGTGGCGCTTAACAGCAGAGACCTCAGTGTTTTGTCAAGAATTGCCCAGTCGCTTTCTGTTCGTTCCTTCTCGCTCACCCTCTGCCTAGCACAATCCTATGTATTCTGTTCTGCTGCCACTTTATTAGGGCACCGAGAGCTGAATGAGGAGTAGGTTGTAAACTCCTTTGTACGACAGAACAACAGTCCTTTTCACTTTTAGAACACCCTGTATCCTACCATCTCAAATAGCTTTGCAACTGCTGCTGAATTGCCTTCCCACAATTATTCTGTAGCGATGAGTGAACTTGGTAGCAGGGATGGTGCAGGAACGGCGGCGCTCTGAAAGCCCACCCGCTGGGTTTAGTGGTGCAAGGGGGAAGCAACGGAGAAGACGTTGCAGGACAAAAGGAAACGAAGAGAACTGCTCCCCGCTTGCCTTTTGATGCCTGCTTTCCCTGACACGTCCCCAGGTACTCAGTGTTGCGAACAGTTCTTGCCAACAACAACAAAAAATGGGTAAAAGCAGACTGGATAGTTATCTCGGAAGAGTTAATCAGAAGCTCAGTCTGTGGGGCTGGAGGTGGAGAGCGTTGTGTGCGTTTCACAGAAGCATGCGATGCTGTAGGATCGTCTTGCCCATCTTTTAGGGTAGGATTTGAACAAGCGGTCTTCAATAACGTTTTTCGCTTCTCAAGTGGTTTAATTTGAAAACAGGGCTATAAATTGGTTTGTCC